GTATGGCTATGACTAGACGTGATCGATTGTTTCGGGTTTACAAGCGCGATAGGTCGGATTGTAATTGGACTCTGTACAAGACTGCTCGTAATAGGTGTAATGGGATGGTGAGGGCAGCTAAGCGTCAATATTTTTATAATAACGTAACTAATTGTTCTCCTGCTAATGTCTGGAAGTTTCTCAGAACTCTTGGCTTAGGCAAATGTTCTGCTCAACCTGACTCCTACCCTTTTGCTCCTAACGACTTCAACTGCCATTTCTCGTCTGCTCCTTCTTTAGATCCCTTCATTAAGGCGAACACTATTCGACTTATTGCTTTCAGGCCCATTTCTTCTTCAGTTTCTTTCTCTTTTTCACCAGTTACAGCTGACGATTTGCGTAAAATAATTTTTTCTATTAAGTCTTGTAATGTATGAGAGTAGGATACAACTTTACTTTGACGTTGTAAAACGAGATTGCTGTCTCTTCGAATACAACGGTTCTTGAGTACGGACGTATCTCTTTATTTTCCTGCCTATCCCTAATATCGGTGCCTGGCTAGGCTGAAATACTTATCAGTGGCGACGAGGTGTTTATTTTGTTAGAACTTCACGTTTAAATAGTAATTATATTGTGGTGAAATAGTGAATTTAAAAAAATAATTTTTTTTGTTAAAATGTCGCTCGGAAAGATCGAAGCGTTTGATGTCACGAAAGACAATTGGAATTTGTACATTGATCGTCTGGAACAGTACTTTCTGGTAAACGACGTCAAGGATACAATGAAGGTGCCTACCTTAATTACAGTTATAGGTAGTGAGGCTTACGAACTTATGGACAATTTGTGTACACCCGTAAAACTATCTACAAAAAAATATAGTGAGTTGGTGGAATTGATGCGCAAGCAGTTGCAACCGAAACCTAGTTTACTTGCAGAACGCTCCAAATTCAGACAACGTGTTCAAAAAAACGGCGAATGCGTCGTAGAATATGTCACAGAATTAAAAAAACTATCGAAAGATTGTCAATTTACGGCCGAGACGTTAAAAGAAAATTTGCGTGACCAATTCGTGTGTGGTTTAAGAAACGAAAATATCACACAGCGGCTATTCGCGGAGGACAATGTAAGTTTCGATGATGCATTTAAAATCGCAGTGAGCATAGAAGCGGCCGAGAAAGACGCGGCACTAGTGGAGGAGCATTCCTGGCGGTGTGACGTCACGCCGATGCCATCGTCATCGTCGGCGGTACACAGGCTAACGTATGCGCGCGCGAGGGGCAGCGGTGACAGCGGGGCGCGCGGTGCGGCCGCAGCGACGAGAACCGGTCAGCCGGCTGGCAGATACGACGTGCGCACAAGTTCGAGGCGATATGTAAGCGGAAGTCCAATTGAACCAAGAGAAGCGGGTAGCGGAAATAAAAATTTATTTATTTATTCATTTATTTCAGGCAACTAAGGCCCATATAACAAATACCTTACAGACTAACATACATATTATTATTATTGATACATACCTTACAAACTAACATACATATAAAATAATATAAACTTATTAACTATTTACACGAATTACTATTCGGCGACGTGCGACGCAAACAAGTGTCATGTATCGTTCCTCTGAACCGCCGGAACATGACACCCTTCGGCCAAAACTCTACCTGCATGAAGGTCGACAGATGGACCGTTGGGACCCTCACCACAAACGAATTAAAGTTAACGTTGTGGCGAGACTCCAAACGTTCGACCCTCTGGGTGAATTGGGCTTTCAACCGGATATACTCCACTATATCCTCAGACTTCGTGGAGTAATGCAGTCGAGACAGGTACAACTGCGTCGTCGGTATGGCCGCACGAAGCAAGAAGTTCTGTCCCGTAGGAGCTGTGCCACATAGATTTCGGCTGGTGGGTTTCTTTCTTCTCTTCTCCACCTTTGTGAAGCCGTCCTCGTCGCACCTGTCGGTCTGCCTCTGAGATTTGGCACCTGCGATTCCAGAGACAGGCATTCGGGGTTTACTACCGCCCTTTGCAGTTTTCCGCAACTCGGGTTTTGAAGTCGCGGTTCCGCTGCTAATGGTGTGAATCGTAGTAGTAAGAATTTCCAGAAATCGAAGAGCGAATGTCGTGCGTGTGGGGGCCCTCATCAGATGAATACTTGCAAATTTCAAGCGTATGTATGCAGAGTATGTAATAAAAGAGGTCACCTTAAGAAAATGTGCCCGAATCTAAACAATGAGAGCTCATTCTACAACTTAGTTGAAGAGGAGGCGGTGTACCAAGAAAATACCAGTGAGGGAAGCGACGAGGTACCTACAGAATTTTTCTTTAAAATGTTCAACTTTAAAACGGTTTGTACCATACACGGTAAATGTTAAGATAAATGAGTGTAATTTACTAATGGAGATCGACACAGGTAGTGCAATATCGTGCATTAGCAAAACCTGTTATGATCAGTTGTTTACAAATTGTCCGCTGGGAAACAGTGACTTAACATTACATTATTACACTGGCGAGACAGTGAAACCTTTAGGTAAAATTAGACTACTTGTAACTTATGGGAACACGAGCAAGCACTTAGATCTTTATATTGTGGATAGGGGAAAGACCAGCCTACTCGGGAGACAGTGGTTAAGAGAACTAGACATTAATATTAATTCTATGGTTTGTTATGCGAGTGAAAAGTCAGAACCTGTTTTTAATTTAACGGAATTTAGTTCCAGATATTGTAAGGTGTTTGCGGATGGCCTCGGGAGGTTTACCGGCGGGACAGTGGGGTTCAGATTACGCGAGGGTGCGCGACCGGTGTTTATGCGCGCACGGCCGCTGGCGTACGCGCTGCGCGAGCCGGTGGGCCGCGCTGGACGACATGGTGCGCGACGGAATCATCAGCCCTGTTACTACATCCGACTGGGCTACACCGATAGTACCGATCATGAAGAAGGACGGAACCATTCGCGTATGTGCTGACTTTAAAGTTACTTTAAATAAGTGTCTTGAGGTGGACCGTTTCCCTGTGCCAAAAGTAGAAGATTTACTTGCTAGGTTAGATGGCGGAAAAAAATTCTCTAAAATTGATTTATCGCAGGCCTATGCCCAATTTGAGTTGGACGAATCAAAAAAATATGCGGTTATTAATACGCATAAGGGATTATTTATGTATAATAGATTGATTTATGGCTTGGCCTCAAGTCCAGGAATTTTCCGACGTAAATTAGAACAGATTTTTGCCGATATACATACCTAATGTAGGGGTTTCTTGATGACATAATAATAGTGATTATTGACAGGACAGGACGATGAATCACATTATAATACACTACATAAAGTTTTCAATCGTTTGCTACGTTATGGCCTCAAAGTCAAGAAAGAAAAATGCTCATTTTTCCAGGATTCCGTTACGTATTTAGGATTCGTTATTAATAAGAGTGGAGTACATACTTGTCAAGATAAAATCGAAGCCATTAAGAACGCACCAATTCCGAGCAATGTGTCGGAATTAAAAGCATTTTTAGGTCTGGTTATGTATTATGCGAAATTTGTTCCAAACTTGAGCACAATTTTGGCACCATTATATAAACTTTTAAGGAGAGATGAAAATTTTGAATTTAACCAAAATTGTGAGGAATCATTTAATCGGGTAAAAACATTATTAGTTTCGAGTGAGATATTAGCGCATTATTCACTAGAATTACCACTAGTACTAACAAGTGACGCTAGCAGCGTCGGGGTAGGTGCTGTGATTTCGCACGTCACACCAGCTGGCGAGAGACCGGTGGCGTACGCTTCGAGGGTTCTTAACTCTGCGGAGCGTTCATATTCACAAATTGAAAGGGAGGCACTGGCGATTATTTTTGGCGTTAGAAAATTCCACCAATATTTGTATGGTAGGAAATTTTGTTTACGTACCGATCACAAACCGCTAGTGACAATTTTCGGTGATAAAACAGGTATTCCTGTAATGGCCGCTAGCAGGTTGCAGAGGTGGGCGGTGATATTGGCCGGGTACGATTATAAAATAGAATTTGTAAGGGGTGATAAGAATGCAGCGGATGCGTTATCACGTTTACCAGTAGGGAATCCAAGGCCGGAGACACAAGAGCAAACGTATGTTAATTTTATTCAAAATTTTTCGCCTGTCACACGAAATGAAGTACAAAAGGCATATACACATGATGAGGTGCTAAAAAAAGTTTTTATGTATGTAAGTTCAGGTTGGCCGGAATATTGTGCAGATGAGCAGTTGAAACCTTATTTTGTGCGACGTAAAGAGTTGTACCTTGACCT